GACTTCAATCAAAATGGGGGTGGCCAAAATAGTGGGCCACCACCTGAGGCCCAAGGCAGGCATAATGAAATGTTGAGCAGGGTTAACACACTAATAGATGGGGGACACGTTGCCTCACAAAGCACCCCATCACGGGTACATGTCCAATCAGCATTTAAGCAAGAGGCATGGCATCAGGGGCAAAGTCCCGGGCCCTGGGGTGGGCCCAGTCAGATGGACTCTGCCTTTCTTGAGTGTAGCCCATATCCCGGGGATGCTGGAGCTAGACCTAAGACCCCCGAAAATTGGGATGGGGGATACAGGGAACAAATTACAAAAAATGAGTGGAGTCAACCCATTATGGGTGACCCAAACCAAGGTAATCCCCAACATCAAGGGAGTAGTATTAAGACCAAACAGCACTGGCCAGGGGAAGCCAGTGCATGGGACAAAACCGTCCCAACCAAAAGGGGCGCACCTTCATACCCCATGGGTCACACAAGCAACTATGCAGGTCAGGGGTCAGCACCCTGTACCCAACCAGCTCACACTGGTGGGGGACAGTATGAAACACCCCGCAGTAGGTATGGCAAGTGGCAAGACAATAGGGGCGAGGACTCCAGACAAGCTCCAGCCCCAATGTATGAAGAAAGACCAAACAACAGGGGTGAGGACCAAAGGTGGACCCCTGCCTATGCCTATGGGGATAGGCAATCCCATAATCCGTACAACCAAGGGTATACACCGGTGCCCCCACAAGGGGTCACCACCGGGGGGAGCTACGGGCAACATGCTTACCCAATGCCACACAATGAGGATAGGCCCAAGGAAAACATAAGGGGACCTGACAGCAGAGTCCCCCTAAATGTTTCTTGAGGTATCAGTATGCATATGTCAAAAATATGATAAATTAATGGTTTATAAGCCGAGGAAATTTTTGCATCATTGTAAACTGAAATTAATGTAATACAGGTCAAGATGCGGCCTTCTAATGCAACTTTTGCAGTTGCCCTATAAAAACACCATCTACAAATATTGATCATTTTGCTTTTCTTATGCTAGATAATATAGTAAATATCGAAAGAAAATGATTTACGGGTTTTGAATAGGGGTATTGAAAGTGCTTAAATGAATAAACAAGTTATGTACAGTAAAAATGTGTTTTCGATGTCGAAAGACGAAGTTTCATTCTCATTCAATAATCGAATTAATATTGTTTTCACAATGCGCTTTTTTATTCACAAATCCGGCTGATTATTTTTAATGTAAGCTCATTATTACATATTTTATTAGTTGTTTTATTAAATATGACTGCAAATTAATGTTCTGGAAGATTGAATATCCTTACTGAGCAACTGCATTTACCGTCTGTTTTAGGTAGTGTTGGCACATTTCTGTGTAGTGTTTTAAGGACTGTAGTTTGTTTGTCCGACTTTTTCGCTTTGTTCATGGTGTTATCTTTTTTTCTTCATCATCTATCAGGGTTTGAGACTGCCTCATTGTTATTTTCTTGAAGCCAAGGCAAAAAAAACCTGCAAGCTCAGATATCGATGCAAGATATAAACCTTGTGCCACTACGTCCGTTTGTCTTTAAGTGCACATATGGAGACTGTACATGAAGGGATTTTTTTTCTGGATAAACAAATAGAGTTGAATAGTTAGCAATTCAAATGTACCATTATATCTCTGCTTGTAAGCTATCTCATAATCTTAAAACAATCTTACTAAAATATAGATCTCTGATTTCGTTATCCTCATATGATATACTAGCATGCGAGTTGTAACAGATCTGAATTTAAATCAGATTGTATAAACCCATACTATTTACACTTTGTGGTTTTTCACTTGTCAACTAGTATCACTTCTTATTGTTATGAGATCTTTGCACCATTAGAAACCCAAATGAAAAATTATGACTATGGTTTTATACTGTCTCATTCTTATATATGCCCATGTTTAATCAATGCATGGCAGATGATCTATTTAAAAGAAAAATGACAAAAGTACCGTACTCCAAGGGAAACTCAAAACGGATTAAAATTGTACATCAAACCTGGCTTTATAGCAAGCTAAACATATCACTTGTATGAAAATAGCGCTCTGGGTTTCTGAATGTCTCAAATGAGAATAGTGTGTGGTACATTTACAAATGATTTTTAATGCAAAACCATAGGCAATTGAATCTAGAATAAAAGTGGTTTAATTGCATATTTATATATCAGTTTTTATAAAGAAAATTTATTTGTAGCATGTAACTGTAGTAATTTACAACATCTACATCAAAACTGCTTTGTTTGTTTAGAGGTTGCCTACTTTTACAAAAGGCCATTGGTGCTGATTGGTTGAATTTTTGTATGACACCTGCACAGTAATATCGTCATTCATTCTAACAAATATAATAAATGTATAATTGACGGGGATTGCCAGTTTCTGCTGAAGGTCGGTTGATCTCTCTAGGCACTCCGGCTTCCTCCTTCAATAAAAACTGATAGCCACAAAGTACTGTATATGATAAAGATATATTAGGTCTGGAGCTGGCATGTCAGTAACTGCTGTAGTCCTTTGTTGATTTATGTTTCACCGACTTTTTGCTTAGTTTCGTCAGTTACCTGTTCTGACATCGGACTCGAACTTCTTTTTAACTGAGTTTTGCTGTGTGTTTGTTTATTTTTCATTTGCTAGAGGTATAGAAGAGGGTTGAGATCTCACAAAATTGATTTACCCCTCCGCATTTTTGCGCCAGTCTTAAGTCAAGAGCCTTTGTGTTTTTTTTTTTATTTTAATTCACTTACATATTTCGAAGTTTAGTGTGAGTCCGTTTTCACTGAACTAGTACACATTTTTTGTTTAGGTGTCAGCTTAAGCCTGCCTCCGGGTGCAGGATTGTTTAGTTATGTTGAAGACCTGTTGGTAGCCTTGTGCTGTTTTCTGCTTTTTGGTCGGCTCTTCACATTCCCCATTTCCATTCTAAATTTTATTTAGTAGTCAATAGTGCCGAAAGTGGCGTTAAACACCAACAATCAATCAGTCATCTTTATACTACAGTGTAGTTTTTTAACTACTCCGGAATTGAAAGTGTAGTTATATATATATATATAGAGTCTATAAGAATCTACCAACCAGTAAACTTAATAGGTATTGGATCATCAAAATTGACAATACTACACAAACAGGGAAAATTATATGAGTCTAAAAGATTGTGTAACAATACCGATAAATAGATGGAAAACAAAACACTTAAAAGTGTTGAATATATATATATCAAACATCTATTCTCATTGGTTGACCATAGGCATATATAGTGATAAGATTATCTTAGTTGGTCATCAGTTTGGCTCAGAGGTCGGTGAATTTCATTTTCTAATTGGAGTTTTTGGTATAACTTGTGGTGCAGGTGCTTGATGTCATAAACTCAAAAAAACATAAAAACAAAAAAAACAAAACAAAACAAAACAAAACAAGACAAAAAAAAACATAAAATAAAACCATAACAACAAAATAACAAAAAACAAAACAAAAAATAAACAAACAAAACAAAACAAAACAAAGAAGTTACAGCGAAATGGAGTCAATGAGGTCTTGAATAGTGTCAAAAGACTCATGACTGTATGGCAATTATATTTAATTCCCGGATCAGATTAGTCAAAAACCTAAAAAGAAATACCTTCATAGACAAGGTCTACACAGGCAATTTTTTCCAACGTGATTTTAACATGGGAATCACGTGATATTCACGTTGTCCACACCACGTGAGTACAACGTGAAACGAGCAGAAACGTAATATTCACGTTGTGAGCACAACGTGAAATAAACGTTCGTCACACGTGATATTCACGTTGTATATAAATCCACATAATATCAACGTGATAATACAACGTGATATTCACGTTTAATATAAAGCCACGTGATATAAAGGTGATAATACAACAAGACTTTTATGTGAAGCAGCCACTAGGAAAAATGAAATATTGTCTTTGTTGCACTCATTGACATATCATTTTTTGTTCTTGGTCATCTCTATTTGAAGATGTTTCTCTGGTTCTTTATGGTAAAAGTACTGTAAAAGTGAGTTATACATCAATAAATTGTCTTATATTGATTATCAGTTACCTCATATGCATGTTTTATTAACCTGTTATCATCCTGAATATGTATGTAATATTTGTGGCTGGATGTTTAGCATCCATTAAAACTTATATATCTATATATATATATATAGATTCTACCACTGCATCGAGTGTGATACGATATTTATCCACTCGAGACAGTTAAATTTTCAAATTTAAAACGCGAGGCTCGCCGAGCGTTTTAAATATTTAAAATTTAACTGTCGAGAGTGGATAAATATCGTATTACACGAGATTTGGTGGTGGAATCTGTTTCTCTAATGATTTTCAAACAATACGCAGGCAAATGTATTCCTTCTTTTCGAATGATCTGCAAAAAGATGTGTTCTTTCTATGTGACGTCATCAGGCATGGTCGCCTTTTTTCATGCCGTCACAATAGGAAATTCAGAGGAAAGCAAGATAATTCAACGTCATAATCGGATTTTAACCAATGAAGAACTGAGATCAAACGAACCACACGTTGATTAAATTTTTTTATTCTATGGGTGCAGAAAGTGATAAATTGACGAAGAATTAGAGAAATATATATATATATAAATCCAAATCTTATTTAAACCATGAGACTATTTCTACATGTTTGAAACCTTTCGAATCTTCCTGTTAGTATTTCTTTTTTTGTTTGTTTGAAATTCTTGCTTTATAATCGCGTTTGTTTGACAATTCATAAAAAATCTAAAAGTATGAATACCAATGTCAAAGTCAGCTACATTTTAAATTTATACAATGTTTAAAAAGAAGCCGAATTCGAAATTGCACAACAAATAATGCAAAACCAAATGTATACCAAACAACAATTCAATACAGACTAGCTATTTTACAATGATCATTCTACAAGAGTTGTGTCCCTTGCAGGTTTACCATGACAAATCTAAAAAATAATCAGCTTATGATTAAAAAATTGTCCCTAACAGAGGCATATGTTACCAAATGTTAAAAAAAACAAAACACTTTCCACATTAAATTCAATTATATTTATATTTAAGAATATTCTAAACAGTTAACATTTGAAAAGTTACTGAAATAGTAACAAATAATATTTGATTGTTCCGTCTTCTAAATGCTCCACTCTTTTGAAAGTTTCTTCATCTGAAAGGATAAAAAAAAGAATTTTATTTACTGTTATAATATTATCTTATTCAAGCATACATAATGAAAGCTTTATTTTACTTCTAATATGAGTGTTGCTTTTGCTTTGTAAACAACAATGTGATAAAATTCTCAATATATCTATAGTTTACAACCCTAGTAAACATTATTATTATATACATATGCACTTTCATGGATCTACAATCTGTCATTTCCTGTATCCTGGCATTGCACCAGGTCATGTTTTTCTCTGATTGTTTATGATGTCTTTACACTAAATCCATTGGATGTTGGATGTGTACTGATTGATAATTTATTCTTAGATGCATTTTTTTTTAAGTTGTTATTGGCTTTGAACTAGCTGTCAGTATCTGCACTCTCAGATTTGTACTAAGTGTCTTTTTGTTGTTGGGATGTACAAGTACCCATCCACGTCCACTCTGTGTTTTTGTTGTATGTATTTCTATTTGTATCCATCTGTTGAGTTCAGCCTTTTTCAACTGATTTTTTTAGTTCGTTCTAATGTTGTGCTGTTACACCGCTGTCCCAGATTAGGGGAGGGTTGAGATCCCCCCCAACATGTTTAACCCTGCCACATTCTGTATGTATGTGCCTGTCCCAAGTCAGGAGCCTATAGTTAAGTGGTTGTTTGTTGTTTAATATTTGTTTTTTTCGTTACTTTTTTTGTACATTAATCAGGCCGTTAGTTTTCTCGTTTGAATTGTTTTACATTTGTGATTTATAGGTGACTATGCAGTATGGACTTTGGTCATTGTTGAAGGCCGTACAGTGACCTATAGCTCTTAATTTCTGTGGCATTTGGTTTCTTGTGGAGGGTTGTCTCATTGGTAATCATACCACATCTTTTTTATATGTATCATAACTAATGTGGTGATTTGCCTGTGTAAAATTGAAATGAAAACTAGACAAAGTGACTCCACTCTGAAGTAACTGTATTATAACAAAGTCATTGTAGGACTTTCTTTGAGATATTATTGTGTCTGGGAGACACAATTGATGCCCCCGCAGATGCAAAGTGTTATTTTAAAATAACTATAACATTTAAACGCTTACACCCAAAAAATGATAAAAATTCAACTTTCTCCCAAAAGAGCAAGTATTAATAAAAATCAAAACCCTGACCACATGCACACCTTCAATGTATGTACAAACAGCCAGCAAAGTGAAAATTCCTAGCATTCAAACTGTAGGAGGAGTTATCTGGAAACGCTCCTCTTATGAAAGTAAATACTCCAAAAATTGACAAAGTTCAACTATCTCCCAAAAGAGCAAATATTAATAAAAATCAAAACCCTGACCACATGCACACCTTCAATATATGTACAAACAGACAGCAAAGTGAAAACTTCCTAGGATTCAAACTGTAGGAGGAGTTATGCGGATTAACTATATACCCATAATGGGACGGACGGACGGACGGACAGGGGTAAAACAATATGCCCTCCAACTTTCAGTTGCGGGGGCATAAAAAAAACATGACTGAATGTACAGGGCCAAATAATCTCCATGGAAATGTGATGTGCCAATACTAATACAACTGAATACCAAATATCATTGGCCCATCACTAAAGGTTCCCCTTAAACTGACAAACATTTTTGGGGCCCTTTATAGATTGCTGTTCGGTGTGAGCCAAGGCTCTGTGTTAAAGACCATACTATGACCTATAATGGTTTACTTTTACAAATTGTGACTTTGAAGGAGATTTGTCTCATTGGCACTCATACCACATCTTCTTACATCTAATCACAAACTTATATGCTAAGTGACTTTAGTATTTCATTGTCCGTATCATTTCACGGTATGTATAAAACTTTCTTCTTTTTTTTTACATTCCTTTTGTTGTGTGATATCTAATAAATTTTGTATATATATATATATATATATATATATATATATATATATATTCATTATATCTCAATTTCCCTTAAAATGACCTAATCACAAACTTATACATTGTTGAAACAGCACCCCTAGATCTAGCTTTTTCAAGGCAAGACAAAAATAATGAAAAGGAGAAGACAAAAATTTTGTTCTTTATGTTTCTTAATTTTTCAATGTCTGTGTTGTTTTTACTGGTACTGTCTTGTCTATCCTTTTCATTAAAAATTTCCAAATTTCAAAACTTCACATTAGGTCAAGATTTATTGATTAATGGTTAAAAATTTACATTACTGATGGTTGATGAATATGGTGATATCTTAGTGTTAGATTAAGAGTCAATAACCAATCTGCTAGTTGCCTGATGCCTAATGACTTAGTATAACTTGGCAAAGATATTTTTTTGGAATAACACGATAGGTTTCACATGTGGAGCAGGATTAGCTAACCCTTCTGCATTATCTGAGATCACCAAGATTTTAGTGCCGTTGCGGTGCTCAGTCTTTAGTTTTCTACATTGTGTATGCAGTTGCTTGTCTTTTAGTCGTTTTTTGTTTTGTTTTATGGCGTTTGTCAGTTTGTAAATCGACCTTTGAGTTTGAATATATCCCATTGGTATCTTCTACCCCTCTCGATTATTAAAATCTACTATTCAAATGTCATTTAATTGCATCAACATGATAATCCATGATGAAGGTTTCATATATTGATAAATAAAAAAAAAACTTTAACCAAAGACTGAACTTTAAATATAGCGGACTATACATTATGGATTTTTCTCATTGTTAAAGGCTCTATGGTTGCCCATAATGGCCATTATTGCTTACATCCACTTTCTTTGAACTTTGGTGGATAGTTGTCTCATTGGCAATATCATACCTCATCTCCTCATTTTAATATTTCTATTATCACCAGTTTAATTCGCCCTTTCAGAATCTAAATAAATGCATTCTGTTCTGGGTAATATTTTCGAAAGCGTACACCAAAACGTTGTGATTGGTTTAAAAAGTTCTAAACAATAGAAATTCAACCAATGAGGTAATGTTATTTTCATTTTGGTGTACGAACAATTAGATTACCCATAATCCTTTAGATTCTGAAAAAGGCGAATTATTTCTTAATTATTCTTCCTTTGTTTAATTTGTACAATATACAAATAAGATATTAATGTATTTACTTACATGTTCAGCTATCAACAAAAAAGGCTTCCTTTTAAAGTCTGACTTGAATAGTGAAGGTGTAGCCTAGATCTGTTTTACTATGAAGCTGTAAATTAAAATAAAAATAACATCATTATGTCAATATGTGCTTAGGAACAGGATCAAACAAAGCAATAACGAGAAGAAAGGCATACATACATCTGGAAGTCTTAAAAGATGTTTTTTAGATCTCAATCCTTTGAGCCTTCTATTTAAATCTGGGTCAATGAATTAAGAAATACTCAAATAGTTCATAAAATGAAAATAAGCCAAGAAAATGTTTTACTAAGGGCTATCAAAAAGTATAGTATACAGTTTTTATAAACAAAATGAAATTCTAGATATTCCTCAAGGTTCTGAGCATCAGTTTCAGATTACTGTTCAATTTTTATGTCAAAATCTTTTAAGCTATTATTGCTGTCAACATGGTCAAATCTACAATTACCGGACCCTCATAACTTTATATTTTAATTTGAATGAGCTGTCAATAAGACAATATATGAATTACTGAAACTCTAATATTCAATTATTATAATATAATTGACAATATATTATTATCTACTTGAAAAGTAATGTTTGATGAGATTATAATCTTAATTTTAGGCATGCAAGTATAGAAATAACCTGCAGTATGAAGGATTTAATCAATATTTGGTTATGTTTTGTAACATCATTTTTGAACAATAAAGCCAAAAAATGTATACACTTATTTGCTGTCTCCTGGCAGAAAGATAAGGAAGATAGATAAAATAATTGTATTTTTTATTTTTATTTTATCTAAATTATTAATATACTATACACAACATGTTCTGAACTTAAATGGTGCTTTACCGAACAAATTTTGACTTTTACCAGCAGCCGGTTGTACGAACGTGTCATTAGTCTAATGAGTCATTACGTCTTCATTAGCCTAATGCATCATAAAGGCTTAATGAAGACTTAATGAACCATTAGGCTAATGCCACGTTCGTACAACCGGCTGCAGTACTTTACAAAAAAAAAAAGCCAGAAAATACGTAAGTAAATCGAAAGGGAGACAGAAAAAAAAGAACTTTATCATATTCTGACCTGAACAACAAACTTTATTTTAGTATACTTGAATAGGCAACATTTCTTGTTTTACTATTAAATTACCTTCAGCTTAATAACTTGATTACAATCAAAATACTACAAACTTCTGTAACCAAATGTGATTCTCTGAAGCACTGCTAAAGTATCATGTCCTTTATCCATCTTATATATATACATGACAGTATATATTTGCCTCAAATTCAGATTTTTTCTGGAAAAATAAATATTCAAATAAATGTACATGAACATGAACTTTAGTCCACATATTATGCCTCCTTCTACTGACTGACAAACAAATGTCACATAATCATCTTTAGTAATGTTAATAATATGTACAGTATATACATGTAACATGTTATCATTAAAGATTAACATCATTGCATAGGGATTTTATGCTGAGTGACATAAATATTTCTTTGTGTGTATGTATAAAACTTTCTTTTTTTTCTTTCTTTATTTTACATTCCTTTTGTTGTGTGATATTTAATTAATTTTGTATATATATATTTATTATATCTCGATTATATGGGGCCAACTTGGACGAGTAGTCTAAGTAGTCGAACTTCTGTATCACCAGCCAGCAGCCAGTCAACACTAAGGTTGTGAGTTCAAATCCTGCACGTGGCAAGTGAACTTAACTCCAATCTTAATTGACTAGGATTGTCAGTTTTCCTACCAAAGGTCATGGTTCTCTCCAGCTTCCTCCATCAATAAAAACTGGATGCCACAAAATAGCACCATAGTGTTAAAAGTGGCGCTAAACATTAATCATTCAATATCTCAATTATGAGAAAATATTGTATACAGAAGTAAAACTTGTGTCTGATCCTATTTAAGTCAATTGTTAGAATAAAATAATCATAAACTAAAACATTCATATGATGTAGTTTTGCATTTTCTATTTAGAGCATGTTCAGTACCAGTAGAATTCAACGACAAAATTAATAAGCTATTATTATAGTTTCTTTGTTCTTACTACTTTTCTTATGTTTGCAGGGAAAATTGACAGAGTGATACATCTTCTATGAATAAAAAGAGGAAATAAGTGTCTGCAGCAGTAAATCATTATAACAACAAGACTGTGAAAAGAAGATATCAGAACATGAAATGAGTTTTATTTCTTTTAAAACAATTGTTACGGAATATACCTCTTGTGATTCTAATGAAAACCATTGTCAACTTGAAGTAAAGGAAGATTTTATAATTTAATAGAACAGGAAATAAAGGAAGACTCATTTAGAACATAACAAAGCACAATGTATATTTCTAATTAGTCTGTTAATTCAGAATAACCCATGTGAAGGAATTATATTTTACAGTAAACAACATACAATACACTTACAATTTCATGTTTTGCAATTGGTGAATTTTTATGTTGTACTAAGGTAAAATTTATATGACAGGTGCGTTACCTTAAATATTCGCTGAACACATGAAAATCCAACATAGCCATTGCAAAAATAACTTGCACTTACATGTACATATGTTATTCATGTGATATTAATATGAAATTCACATCACGATCATGTGAAAATATAGACGTGAAATAACACAACTTTTACACGTTAAAATAATGTGAAAAAATCTAAATCTGAAATTAACACAATATTTACACGTTAAAATCACGTTTAAAAATTTACGTGTGAAATTAACACAATATTTACACGTTAATATCACGTTAAAAAATTTACATGTGAAAATAACGTTACGTTTAAACGTGAATATCACGTGAGCAGATTAAAACGTGATTATCACGTGAGAATTTTGTGTGTGTCAAATACCGGTGATATAAACGTTTAAACGGTGTGATACACACGTGGAAATAACGTAGTTTTCACGTAATGAGCACAAACGTTAAACACACGTTGGAAAAAATTGCCTGTGTAAGGGAAAGAGATATCTACATTTATAAGAGGACCATTTAATTTTCTGGGGGTGGGGCAGGAGGAATTAAAGGGAACAGAATATGAATTTCTTAATTTGCTAGTATGGCTTATTAAGTTCGCCTTGCCACGTGAACATTTATTTTCAATCTGTAAATTAATCAAACTTAAATAGCCATCCTCTCAATTCATATCTCTGAGATTATCAAAGATATTTACACAATGAAATTAACCAATCACCCACCCCTTTGAAGCTTAAATCCCTTGAAATTTACAAAATAATGCCTTTACAATTTCATCATATCTGACTGTGACATGTTATATTATTCCAACAATCTAATTAAAAATTAAAATCCATTTACAATATTACTTTCTCAAACTTCATTTATAATAATATTATCAAATTCAAGGTGTGATTTATTGTCAATACAGTCATTGTCAACGTATATTTGTAGCAGAAGTTCCCCTGGAAATTTTGTTATAAACTATGCCATATGCATAACATCTGTTCCTGTTGGAACAAATTTTCTATACCCATTATTCCTTTAGGAACAAATACTGTAATAATTGTTCCAGTGGAAATAATATTACAGAATATTTCTTCTACTTGGAACTTATTTTATGAAGGAACTTCTATTTCGTGACATCATGACAGTGGTGGTTCCAGGATTTAAAAAAATGGGTTGTGGTTGACCCCAAAATGTATAAAATTTCAGCATGCATTGTACAATGTATACATGTTATGATGTTTATGTACAATATTGGATATAAAAATGTAATCGAAATGTTTGGTATAACATAAATTTCCTCAGTGTTAAACCTAATAATTATTTTTTTCAAGACTTTGAAATGTTTTCTTTGCCTGTAGCTTATATTTAGCAAAAATGTTAGGGGCATAATTATCTATAATACGTGTATTTTGTTGGTAATTTATTGGCAAATTTGTATTCTTGTGTTGATGATGACAATGAAAAGTTTTATTTTGCTTTGAAGAATTTAATTATATACATTTAGTAATTGTATGTACATTTACTTAGTATTTACAGGATGGAAAAAGATGTTCACTTATAAATTAAAACAGAGGACTTTTAAAAATAAACAAAAATACTTGCACATGTATGATATACATGCATGTAACAAAGAAAATGGAAATGGAATGTCCAAGTGCAACAACACATTTAAATGGAGTGATGTACATTTGAACATGTTGGAAGCAAAATTATTATTGTTAGTTGTAAACAATATGTAATGACTACAATATATTAAGGGTAACTAACCAAAAAGTGTATGCTTAGGGTTACAAAAGTAGGTTATTTACAATGTACTATGATTGTAAATCCCCCAAAATATGAAACAAATATGAAAGTTCCCAATGGATTAAGTTGGGTCTAACACTTAAAATTTATAGGATAGGCCAAGTAATCCGGCCTACACAGACGATAAGGCCCAATGGTATACTTTTAATAGTTTAAAGATTTTATTCTATTATCTATGATCTGTAAATGTCAATATTGTTTCCTTCAGATCTAAAACTTAATTTCAAAGAATGAAGGGTACAGTAATTAAAATTTCATTTATAGGATTGGAAACAATATATGTCATCATATCCTAATGCAGTGTTAACATAAGGTTTCTGAATGCTTTAAAATTTTTGCTAACCACTTTCACCAAAATGAATGAAAATTTATTCAATTTGACCATTTTTTTTTCAGATAAGAGAATTACTTGATCAGACCATATTGGGGTCATAGATGGACATTACAATGAAGTACAATACATGTATCATAATTATCATTCTTCATATCTTTTGATTGAATTAACTACCTTAATTTATTTACCAAATATTTTCTTCTATTCAGTAAATATGAGATTCTGTCAGAGGAATAATTTTACTGGAGGATAAAATTTTAATACCTAGAATCAGCAATTTATATGAAGTTTGCGTAGAGACTGAGAGATATTCATGTGCAGAATTGTTTCCAAGGTGGTAACCCCACCAGATAACCTTTTGATTGAATTAACTACCTTAATTTATTTACCAAATATTTTCTTCTATTCAGTAAATATGAGATTCTGTCAGAGGAATAATTTTACTGGAGGATAAAATTTTAATACCTAGAATCAGCAATTTATATGAAGTTTGCGTAGAGACTGAGAGATATTCATGTGCAGAATTGTTTCCAAGGTGGTAACCCCACCAGATAACCGAGGTTGTCTGAGTTATTATTAGCAGAAATTTTTGTTGAACTAATGCAGCATTCAATAAATGAAACTTTAGCAGACTATGAGCTCTTACTACCCACCAAAGTGTTGTAAAAAGAGGAAGTTTAAATATGTGAGACTCATCTTCATAAAAATGTAGATGTGGATAAGTGCAATCTAATTAAAATATAGATCTCGGATTTCGTTATACTACGTTATACTACATACGAAGATCTAACAAGTACCCTACAAGGTTTCACTTTTGTGACCTTATATAACGTAATATTTGACCCCAGAAAGTATTTAGATCGACCAATCAGAATGCTCCTTATAAACGCGACCTAGGAACATGTTGAAGATGGCGACGTAGAAATGGAAAACAACATAGAAAATGCATTAACTGAAATTTTGCCTTAGTACAAAGTGAAAGAATTGAAATTTGAGAAGAGACAAATTTTGGAAATCAAAGATTGCATGGTCAGGCTTCCAACATGCTTCAAACGGGCTATGGAAAGAGTTTACATACCAGATATCTGCTACCCGATAATCAAGTCTGCATTCAAAGGTAAATTCTCGAAAATAGAGTATTAAAGGTTGACATTTTTCTATCATTGGGCAACTTCTCGAGTGTTTATTAAAAAAAATCTTTGTGGAGGATTCACAGTGTACTTTAAAAAAACATGACAATATCCCAGAAAATACATTGCAAGTCTTCATTCTCCTAATTCTCCTACCAAAAAATTATAATTATTAATTTACAAAGTCAATGAAGATATGGGATCAGATAAATCTAAATTCATTGGTAATAGTATATAAATCATAATGTCATCTTATTAATGATATTCTACTGTGTACTTGCAAAGATATACATGTATACTTATGCCAGCACATGCAGAAGAAGTTTTAATATCAGCATACTTTTTTTACTTCTGTCACACACTGATACATGTTGATATCATGAGGTGCTCCAGATAATTGTTAGGGGAAATTTTCTGCCAAGAAAGAAATTAATTGTTCACTATTCTTGGACTCGGCTACAGTGGGTCAGAATGGCAATTAGTGTTTCAGTGTTCATTAAATATTAGTTTAATGCTTTGTGAGAAAAATAACTTCATCCTGTTTATGTACATATAAAAAAGAAGATGTGGTATTTTTGCCAATGAGACAACTCTCCACAAGAGAACAAATGACACAGAAATTAACAACTATAGGTCACCGTACAGCCTTCAACAATG